TCTCTCTCTCTCTCTCTCTCTCTCTCTCTCTCTCTCTCTAGGTTTATCCTGGGCCTCCCCTGATAGCTTCCAGTGGTCTAATTGGGCGCTTCTCCTTGACATCGATGAAATGCCTTGGACGCCTCTCGCCAGCCTTCTGCGGTCCAGCTGAAAATGAAAACCAGATGGTTTACAGGGCGCAGGGCATTGGCATGCCTACTGCCTTTCTGACCCATTTCACCACCTTTGACATTCTCATGCGAAGGGCCAGGGAGACAAATCCGGAGGCCCCAGCCACCCCAATTTATCTGGCATCCTCGTAGCAGCATGACCGGACTTGCCATCTTTTTTTTTTCAAGTCCGTCCTTACGACCACCTTGTAAATAGACTTGCAGCGAATGAGTTCACTGAGTACCAGCCTATCCGAGTTTCCCTTTCCCATACTTTCTTGTCTGTGCGTGCTTGGAAAGACCACCGCTAAGGCAAATGGGAGTGGACGAGGTCTTCAGAAGCGGTAAAGTTGGCAGGCCCGGACTGTTAGTATGGGAAATAAGAAGGAACTCATAGGACAAGGTTTATTGGAATGCTGTCGTTTTGGAGAGCTTGGTCGGCTCATAATTGCAGAATGACCTTGCTCAAACGGTACTGCAATTCGCGTGCCGCGACCTGGTTATGGGCCTCGAACTGGTAGATTTTTTCCGTTTGCTTCTTGGGGTCATTGGAGGATGTTCGGTGGCCATTCTGGCTGCATGCATTGGGAGTCATGGCCTCAGTGGGGATGGTTGAGCATCTGTTGTTCGCCCTGGTGACTCTCGGTCGAGTGATTTCGTCATCGGACTGTGTCTACGTGACCCACAATCTCCCAGAGTAGGCCTGGCCGACCCACCAACTCAAGGCAACAATATGTCGCTGTTTGCTACACATTGCCATGCAATAAAACCGCAGTAGTTGCGTGCCTCGTCAGGGGCTCGAGTGCGTCAGACTTATGGTGGCTAATGCTCTGAAGTAACTTGGGAGCGGATTGCATAGGGTCAAGATAACTCGCTCTCCTAGACACCATTCAAGTACCTAGACTCCATTATTTGTGTCAGACGGTTTGCCCGGAGGAGCTTGCCCGTCAAGCCACGACGCCGAACGCATCATACTAGGTTCGGGTGCATCGAATTTACAGGAAGAATACACTGGCATGTAGCGAGAAGGGACTGCCTAGTGTCACTCCACCCTCTCCTGTGCGCCAGTCGATTTTTCGATCCTGGCAAACAACCAGTTCAACTGTTTAACTCTGTTAGGAGCAGTCGTAACCGACTCACTCGCGAGCCGGCCTGATGACTCATCCGACAACGCAGTATAGATCGGTCCACATGCAGCGCACGCGGTGGCAACGCACAAGTTGCCGACAAGATTAGTGGTCTGCCCAATCATTCGGATGAGCCGAAAAGCAAGTCGGCATGCTAACTCCTGAAGGACACTACCGGATTGGTCTGATTGCATTGTGACCTTGTACATACGAGTATGCTCCATTTTTGGCCTTTAAGGCGTGGTACATCAATGTGCTTCCATTCTTCCGCCCTCGGGGATTCGATCGAGGGTTTGTTAGAGGGCAATCACCGTGGTTTGTGACAAGGCCATAGCACACTCTGTGCAAATTAAACGCATGACCTGGCAATTCTGTCGCGTTTTCTCATGTAATGCCCTGAGAGCAAAACAAACAGGAACGCTTTTTAGCGACACTCAACAGTTCATACCCACCCTCCAAGTCTTCGAAAGCCGCTGATTAGTGTCTGTAAAGCAGAAACCGATGAAGTTAGTAAATTATTATACACAAAACACAACTGATATAGGTAACCGGAGGAAATAAAACATAAGCGGTAGCTTTAAATGCGCCAGTCCTACGCATGCTGTACATAACAGTGTCAATGAGCTGGGGGGGGGCTTATCTGGGTGGCAAAGGCGAGCAGAAACGGGAGATCGCTGATATTACAGACGAACATGCACAGGGACTGTGTGTGACTGGATGACGGTTTGACGCTGTCGCTCCGACGGCTTTCTGGGACGAAACAGTAATCGGAGAAGGAGAAGAGAAAAAGAAAGCATATGGGGGAGTGAGAAAGCACAAACAAAATATAT